CTCGGATTCTCCAGCATCTGCAGTTCCTACTATCTCTGGAGGAAAGACAGACAGAACAAAGAGGCACCGAAGGAGCCAGTAAAAGCCTCCACTTGGTTTCCCCGATGTGGAGGACATCGGGGAAACCAAGCGGAGGCTTGGGGACCGCCTTGCGGAACTCCTAAGTTCACACTAAAGTTCACACTAAACAACTGCGAACCATTCCCAGTTGCGAACCATTTCAACTCCCCCTCCCATTCCTCAGACAACATGTCCATCCTGGGCCTCCTGCAGTGCCACAACGATGCCACATGAAGGTTGCAGGAACAGCACCTCATACTCCAGTTGGGAACCCTGCAGCCCAATGGTATCAATGTGGACTTCACAAACTTCAAAATCTCCCCTCCCCCTACCGCATCCCAAAACCAGCCCAGCTCGTCCCTGCCTCCCTAACCTGTCCTTCCTCCCACCTCAAGCCCCACCCCCATCTCCTACCTACTAGCCTCATCCCGCCCCCTTGACCTGTCCGTCCTCCCTGGACTGACCTATCCCCTCCCTAACGCCCCACCTACACTCACCTTTACTGGCTCCATCCCCGCCTCTTTGACCGGTCTGTCTCCTCTCCACCTATCTTCTCCTCTATCCGCCTCCCCCTCTCTCCCTATTTATTTCAGACCCCCTTCCCCTCCCCCATTTCTGAAGAAGGGTCTAGGCCCGAAACGTCAGCTTTCCTGCTCCTCTGATGCTGCTTGGCCTGCTGTGTTCATCCAGCTCTACACCTTGCTATCTCAAGATCTGTGTCTTATTTGTAAAGGAAGCAAAGAACTGATTGGAACAGCTTATATTCTGAGAAAGGCAGCATTGTGGTTAGCACTGCTGCCTCACAGCACCAGGGACCTAGGTTTGATTCTACCCTCAGGTGACTGTCTGTGTGGAGTTTGCACATTCTCCCCATGTCTGTGTGGGTTTCCGCCAGGTGCTCCAGTTTCCTCCCATAGTCCAAACACATGCGGGTTGGGGTGGATTGGCCATGGAAAATTGTCCTGTAGTGTCCAGGGGTGTGTAAATTAGGTGGATTAGACATGGAAAAATGCAGGGTTACAGGGAAAGGGTGGGATGCTCTTTGGAGGGGGTTGTATGGACTTGTTGGGCTGAATGGCCTGTTTCTGCATTGTAGGGATTCTACAGAGCAATGAAAATATTGGAATTGAGTGTTGACGGTCACAGACTTATCTCACCCCTTTTAATGTGTGATGTCCTGGGATGTTATCAAACCACGTTTGCAATAGACTTAGGGCAGAATGACCAAACACTCAGTTAGAGGTACTTTTGAGGAATGTCTTAAGAGAGGAAAGGGAGGCAGATGGATCTAAGGAGGGAATCGAAGTTGTGTAGGGCCCAGGCAGCTGAAGGCATGGGGCAAAAGAACATGTGCATTGACAGAGGTTTAGACTCTCAGAGCACTGCCACTCCAACTGCAGATCCATGGGACCCATGGCTCTCAGTCAAGCAACATGAAGAAGTTTCCCTCTCCCTTCAGCATCAATATCATGAAACATCCAATAATCTCTTGATCACCATGTTGGTGAGACTTTTAATTCTTCATGAGATGTGGGCATTGCTGTCTAAGCCAGCATTTATTGCCTATCCCTAAATTCCCCAGCAGTCAGTTAAGAGTCAACACATTGCTGTGGGTCTGGAGTCACATGTAGGTCAGACCAAGTGAGGACAACAGATTTCCTTCCCTAAATGAAATTCGTGAACAAAATAGGTTTTTAAACCACGATTGACAGTGGTTATATGGTCCCATTAGGCCAGCTTTCAACTCTAGATTTCCATTAATTAAAATTACACCATCTGTCAGAACACATCCCCTCCATTTCTAGATTACTAGCAAATGCCACTATGAACACCACCACCTCGATTAGCACATGATGGGTTCTCTGTTCAAGGTCATTGTTATTAAAATACCAGTAAGTTGTGAAAACCAAGCAATGTTTCATTCCCCGGTACCAACCCACAGTAATTGCTAACTTGACTCAAACCTTTAATTGTAGCTATTTTATAAACCAAACTGCTGAATGTAGACTGCCTCCAGATACAATCCAGTTTGAAGAAAGAGTTAGAAACTGAAGTGTGTTGCCAAGAAAAGTTTAATAGTTACTTTTCTTAAACACAGCCATAAACTCCTTTATGTTACACATTAAGGCCACAAAAAAAAACTATTAGTTTCATATTTAAACAAATTAATGGAAGATTTTACTCAAACAGTATGGGTTTTGTTTTCCATTCACAGACACAACACAAAATAGGCTGAAGGGTCACAAGGCTGGCAGGTCAGAAACTCAATTTCTGGGACCTGAGGAATTGTAACAAAAATGACCCTCACAATTACCCAAATATATAGTGTTTATTATACAGCATTGCACTGTTCATCCCTCTCCCAAATTCAAGGGATAAATAATAGTGACCGGATGTTAATTATGTAAAAATACAAACTGATTTCCTTTCTGCCTGCAATCATGCCAGGTTTCTGTGTTAACTATGCAATAAAGTTATAATATTTAAAGTGCAACAGAGGCAGTAGAGATACACACGTTTGCAGAGTCCCTATTGGTCGCCTGCAAATGGGCTCAGCGTTCCTTGCTTCAATCGGATTACTGGAAAAAAATAGCAACACTGGACTGGGGGAGGCTGCCAACTGCAACAAACTTTGGTCAGTTCTCTGATTACACAAACTCAATAACAACTTCTTTGAAAAGAGGACGGCCAGAACTAACCCAACCCCTTAACGAAATACTATCCCTGGCAGAAAGGCTTTCCTTCCAGTTCACGCTGCTGACCTGTACCAGAGAAAAAGATGAGGTTTACAGGTGGGTCACATCCAGAAATGCTGCAGTATTGGATTCCTGCAACTTTGGCCACAAAGGATTTATGGGCATTCCTCATCAAGACTAACGAAACCTACTTTGCATTATTGCGTTTTCTTTACTTATTGGTTTCCACAACCTACAAATACCATCTCCAGACCCCAAAATACCAGCTCCACTTCCACACCCCCATTCCTACAAATATCATCTGTCTCAAGACTCCAATAGACACAGTTCTACCTCCAAAACTCCCACAACCTACAAATAGTATCTCCAACGCTTGGCTCCCTCCTGCGCAAATCTGAAAATTCATCACCATCCCAGTGGCTAAAGGAGGTTGTATTACTCTGGTGAAGTGTAAGAAAACTTTGAATCTACATCCCAAACACTTCGAAATATAAAAGCCTTCAGTTGCACATTTCTCTTACTCATTCGTCTTTGGTAACAAGACCTGGCTCTTGGGTAAGTTTCAGATTCTCAAATGAGGCACCCTTCAGATTTCTAGATTCAGTTTTCAGAAGTTTGAAGCTGGTGGTTGTTGGAAAATGTTGATGCAATGTCAATCCCCCCTCCCGCCCCACTTGGAATTTCTACCATGTGTTCCTCGTGGATGCAACTGGACTGTGCCAGTGTCATAATCCTCCTTTATCCTGCAGAATGGAGTGCCAGTCAACAGATTTGCAATTTGTTTCCATCATTTCTTTTGCGAATGTTAACTCAGCATTTGATTGTTATCACACAGTTAAACTGAGCACTCTACATCTGACGGGACACTGTAGCTCCGTCAATGTTTCCCCTTCGGTTTCTGTACACATGGTGTTGCCTTCAGGCCACTGCCTGCTTATTTCTTTCTCCAACACTCCACCACCTTTGAAGTGGTTACCAGACTTGAGGGCTGAGTGATGTTTACATTTTCAAGGCTTAGAAACAAGATAGGTCCAGGCCAAGTGGCAAGACGCCAGTTATTCTGCACTCCAACTCACAGCAAACCAGTGAGAACAGCAGCTCCATGGGAAACTCAAAGCATTACCAGGACCAGAAAAGAAATGCATCCAACAGACTGCTTTACCAACTTGCAAACCTGTGCTGTGACATCACCTGTCTGTAACTCCCTAGTTTAACCACAAGGGAGCTGACCAAATTATCACTTTCTGAGCCTGAGCTCAAGGTCAAACCAAAATCCTCACTGCTAGCAATTCTTCTGTTTGAATGTTTGCACCAAGGAGATGAACTTTGCCAAAATGAGATGCCTTTTCTCATTTTTTTTTCCTTGAAGTGCAATTACAAAATTCAAATCATTTCAGTTTCCAGTCAATTCAAACTCTTGGCCAAATCCTACATACCCACTTATTCCAGTCTGCAGGTGATTTCACACAGAACAGGTGATGTGAGGCCATCGTGTTTATAAAGCTCATTCTTCCATTACAAAAGTGAAAACAATTCAAAAGCATCTTGGAGCATCTGGAGGTTGTGAAAGGTGCTTTGGAAATGAACTCCATTCCTTCCTAAGGCCCACATCCCTACCCTCTGTTTGGGCACACCTCTTAAGATGTAAACCAGTAATATTTCTCAGCTGGTGACAAGTACTTTTGAGTCTCAGCAACTGAGGGGCAAGGGCATATGGTCAGCAATGAGGAATTGACCGACTCCGAGATGCCTGTTGCAGAGGTCCCAGTCTACAGAACTACAATGCCTATGATCAATCTGACCACAACCTAGTGAATGGGATGGAGGCTTCTCAACATTTTCTCATTTCTTTAATCAAAGGAGCCTGCATCTTATCATTTTGTCCATGTTGCTGGATTTTAGGTTCCAACATGTCTGAGTCACATTGTTATCATGCCCACTCAAGAAATGCAGAGGAGTCATTAATTTAACCAGTGCTCTTAGTGTAAAGTCAATTCAAGGCAGATCTAAATCCACAGGGATACATGTTTACCAGGAGTGCAATCTGCCAGGAAGCAGTCAAAATCAGGAACAGTGATTATGAAAAGGATGATTCTATTGGGATGATGCTCCCTCCTCCTCCTCCCTCAACACCCAATCTTACAGCAAGACTCAATACCATTGGTTAAACTACAAAATGTGCTGGTTTAGAGCATCCCTCTCAGAGATGCAGGTCAAGATGAACGACTGTGTTTGTTATCAGATCTATCCGCAATCTGAGGACAAATAGCATCTATTCATCAGTGAGTGCAGCTCACCCCAGTCTCCAGTTCTTGCAACAGTGGCTGCGTTATCTGAACAGTTAAATAAAAAGCTACATAATTTAGATAACTTAAATTTTATGAAATATAGCTAACAAATTCTATAACTTGGGGAATTTGGAATCTCCCTGCTGTCTTTTTCTTCCCCCAATAGATTGTCCAGACAATTATTAAGGTGCCTAAAGACTGCTTGCTTGTCCAGGACTTTTAACTGGTCCATGTTGCTCATTAGTTATTTATTGGCTTGTCACTGGTTTCAATTTCTGACTTTGGTCAATCAGACAAATATTTTCTGACATAATGTCGGGGCGTGGGGGTTGAATTCCACCCAAAGTCAGCTCCCCATCGGTTCTGGGAAAACAGACCAGATTGTCGCAGGTTTCACACCCCATCCAGCTGCTTTCACTCCTATTGTAATCATTAGAAACTAATACTGGGCAAGGGTGTACAACTGGCAAATCTGCCAGACTCCATTCCCTAGTGAGTTATGTTAAAGTTACTGCCTGGATGTCACTGATAAAACGTACTAAAGGGATTCTGAATCACACAGACACTCTCATTGGCACTAACAGGTAGTACAAGCTTTTGTCAAGTTACAACACATACTGGAAAACTAATACCTACAGGATTTGAACAAGCTTAACAATACTCTATACCTTTGACCAGATTGTCAATGTGCTTACTACTTTTAAACTCTTGGTATCCATTTTAAGAAGCAGGTAGCCAAAACATTTAATTTTAAAACTTGATTTATCACTTTTGAATCACACGGGATCCCGTGTGTAGACAGCGAAGGGATCAATTTCCAAATTTAAAAAAAAAGTTTCACATTGTGCAGCACAGACGTCATCCCAATGTCTTCATCATTAGCAACACAAGCCCCAAACAAATGTCTGCTTGATTTCCCAATTAGTTAGTGAGAAAAAGTGATAATGTCTCAATTTAACAAAATAAAGTACTGGCAAACCACTGCTGATTAGGAAAGAGGCTCAGCAGGGATGCTGATGGTTAGTTATTCCAAATCAAGCAACAACTTTCTAGATGAAAAGTCACTGACTTAAAAAAATAACTCCAGTTCTTTCATTGCCTGATGAGCTGAATATTTCCAGCGTTTTGTTGTAACTTTTGGACCAAAAGATTTACTTGGGCCTTGGTGCTGGGATGCGTTTGCTGCTTGAAATTCTTGCTTAACTTAGTCTTGACCTGAAGCCTTGTCTGGCTTTTATTTCTGATAATTTCCCCCCAATTTTAATATTTATACAATTTACATTGTTTAATTCGCTAAACAACAAAATAGAAACTAGACACTTTTCATCCCTCATCCGATTTTCTGCTTGAGTAATTCTTTTTTTTAAAAAAAAGCACCAACTTTCATTTCAAATACTTAAGTCTTTCAAAGATACGTAGAGCTAAAAGGAAATTCCTTTTCCACCGATAAAGACTTCAACAGCTGATGTGTTTAAGAGTTTTGCTTCATCCCTTGAGCATGGAGCTGCAATGACTGCAAGGCATGGTTCATACTGGGACTTCCCCCAAGTCAGCAATCTGTCCTCCAGCTCTGATGAACTTCAACCTCTTCACTCACAATCAATAGGAGCTCACAGTTCTTCCCCCTCAGCTGGTGTTTCAGAAACTTTCTGTGTAGAAATTTATAAAACAGAGATAATTGTTGAAACAGTGTACAATTCACACAGAATGCCAGGAGGCATGACTATATAAACCACTTTTTCCAAACTTTCTCACGCCAACATTCCAGGGATGTTATTGCATTGCGTTCACTCCTTACATCCAAAATGTTTCTTTTTTGCCCCAGTTTTTCAGACTCAACGGTGTATATGACATTGGTCCGGCCACTATTTGAACACTGCGTGCAATTCTGGTCTCCCTGCTATAGGAAGCATGTTGTGAAACGTGAGAGGATTCAGAAAAGATTTACAAGGATGTTGCTGGGGTTGGAGGGTTTGAGCTATAGGGAGAAGCTGAATAAGCTGGGGCTATTTTCCCTGGAGTGTCAGAGGCTGAGGGGTGACCTTGTAGAGGTTGAATAGCCAAGGTTTTTCCCCCCAGGGTGGGGGAATCCAAAACTAGAAGGCACAGGTTTAAGGTGAGAGGGGAAAGATTTAAAAGGGACCTAAAGGGCAGCTTTTTCACGCAGATGGTGGTATGTGTATAGAATGGGCTGGCAGAGAAAGTGAAGGAGGCTGGTACAATAAATTTAAAAGGCATCTGGATGGGTATATGAATAGGAAGGGTTTAGAGGGATATGGGCCAAATGCTGGCAAATTGGACTAGATTTATTTAGGATATCTGGTTGGCATGGATGCTATGGACTGAAGGGTCTGTTTCCGTGCTGTACACCTCTATAACTGTCCACGACTCTATGACTTACTGGTCTCTCTTTCTGCTTGATCCCAAGTTTCTGACTCCTTTAATGGGTAAGATTTTCAATGGCTGCAAACCCCCCCCCAGCACGTCAACAAAGTGATGGCCATGCACATGTGTGGGGACCATGACACTAACAGGCTCTCTGAGTGGGCAGGAGACCACAGCGAAGGCCACTCAGCACCTACGCGTGCAGACAGACACCTACAGACAGACACACACACACACATTAAAGGCAGGGGATGATTCACCTGCACAACTGGTCACTTCAAAGTTTCAAACCAATAAAGGTGCATGATAACTGCAGATATTAAAGCAGCAGCAACAGGTCTTTATTCCTCCCATTCCTCATTAAAGGTCACTGTGGTTAACTACAGCCTCTATACCACTTGTTCAGCGAACAGCTAAGGTATCAGCAATCAAACTTATCCTTTGTAAGGTATAGAGGAACTAAATTATATCCATTTAAAACTTCACCAGAGCGGCTAATTGACAGGTCATGGTCTGTGGCTACTTATACAAGGTCAGGAAGTTACACACCTGAGCCCTTTACTGGATTTCTCTCCATCACATCTGGTCCCGTTCTCACCTTTTCTCCCACCCACACTAACTACGTAGGAGGAGCGTTAAAACGTTCCCTGACTAACTCACACTGTATCAAACCACTGCAATGTTTTAGAAGGCAGCCTGCCTGCAATGTTGAGGATGGGCAACAAATAAACAACCTCAGACACGGTCTAGAATGCAATGTGTGACTTAGTGACAGAAGCCTCTGACTTGCACGGGAATGGGAGTGAGACAATGACAGCCTGGGCTTCACCACTGCTGCCCTGTCTCACTGGCAGATGAGTTACCTCAACGGCTGGATTCTTGTCTTTAACAAGTCCCCTCAATAGCTGCTGCTGAATGTGGAACTCGACCTCCGCAAGGGGCAACACATTCAGGAAATAAATCAGCATGACAGGTGAGGGACAGTATTTAAACGTCAGTAGGCTATCTGGCTATGGAAGGCATCATGTGTCAGTTCAATCCTGTAGTCATCCAGGGTCCACACAAAGACACTTGAGAAGTGAATCACTCCCTGTCTGACTGACATTTTACCACCAGGTTTCCCTCTTCATATTTATATGTCAAACAGCACACAGGACACTGGTGAACTCCGATCACTGAAGTCCACCTTGGTGATCAACTCACCTGAGATCATCCTCATTGCCAATCTGATCTGGCAGTTTCAGCTTCGAGTCGAGGTTGTAGTAAATCCCAGCAACTTCGCGGACACCAATCCAGTGCTGCCTTTTAAGGGGAAGCTTCACGGGACCCCAACACAAGCTGGAGGGGATGTTCATAATAAAGCCCATCACATTCGAAAGAGCAATAGTATTAACGTCTCTGAAAGAAAGGCACAAACAATGTCAGAAGGTGGACAGATGTGTTTGAGAGCTGATCCATTAGTACCAATACTTTGAAAACATTTGAAAACTCCCTTCAAAGACACTCACATTAATACAAGTCCTTGCCTTTGCTCAGATTTACAGTGGACAGAAGTTGAAGAGTCTACAAACAGCTGGCATCATATAATTTGGTTTGAGACAGTAAACTCTGGAAAGTACAACATTTTTATTTAACAGGAATTCACACCAAATGGTGCAGAAAGCAAACTAATTTGGAATTTTAAACCCAAATTTTAAAGGGAACAAACTCGTTTTAAAATTTATTCCTTCACAGCACATGGAGGTTGCTGTCTAGGCCAGCATTTATGGTCCATTCCCAATTGCCCAGAGGGGGTTTACATGAAAACTAGACTGGTTAAGTGATAGAACATAGAACATATAACAGTACAGGCCATTCGGCCCACGGTGTTGTGCCTAACTTTTACCCTAAACCTAAGGTCTATCTAACCTCCACCCCTACCTTATACTATCATCCATATGCCTATCTAATAGCCACTTAAATGCCCCTAATGAGGCCAATTCCACTACCCTCTCCGGCAATGCATTCCACGCCCTGACCACTCTCGTAGTAAAGAACCTACCTCTGACGTCTCCCCTATATCTACCTCCATTCACTTTAAAACTATGCTCCCTCATAATAGCTACCTCCACCCTAGGAAAGAGTTTCTGGCTGTCCACTCTATCTATACCTCTGATCATTTTGTACACCTCTATCAAGTCATCTCTCAGCCTTCGTCATTCTGAAGAGAAAAGCCCTAGCTCTCTCAACCTTTCCACGTAAGACCTTCTCTTCATTCCAGGCAACATCCTGGTAAATCTCCTCTGTGCCTTTTCCAACGCTTCCACATCTTTCCTGTAATGAGGTGACCGGAACTGGACACAATACTCCAGATGTGGCCAAACCAGGGTTTTGTACAGCTGGAGCATAACTTCACAGCTCTTGAACTCAATCCCTCTATTATGATGGCAGATTTCCCTCCCTTAAGCCACATTAGTGAACCTGATGGGTTTTTACAGCAATCGATAATAGTTACATGGTCATCATTACACTAGCTATTAATTCCAGATTTTTATTAATCATCAGCCATGGCTGGATTTGAACCCATGACCCCAGAACATTGATCTAGGGTTTAGATTGCTAGTTCAGTCTCATTACCACTAAACCATTGCCTCCCCATTCATCTATGAAGAGCAGTACACTGAAATACAGGAATACTAAGGGTACTCTGTTCAGCCATGGAGCTGCAGGATAAAAAAAAATTAAACTTCAAGTTTTTGCAAAGGTAGCCATCCCCAACTGGGATGAGAATCAGGTCTCAGTGCATGCACTGAGAAGGGGCTGAGGGAGAATATAGGGATGGGAAACGGTGGTGTTAAATTGCCCAGGGCCTCTATTGGTGCAGAGAGAAGAGAGAGTTAAGGTTTCAGTCAGATCACGCTTTGCAACCTGCTTCCTTCTCCATGGATACTGCCAGACCTGCTGAGCATTGTCAGTGTTTCGGTGTTTTTATTTCAGATTTCAAACATCCGCAGCATTCAGCATTAATTGGGTTAGGCATAAAGTGATAGCAAGTGGATGTCACGATGGGAAGAACTCAGTGCCTGGACAAATATGTGAACAATAGCCACTCAAGTGAAACACAACAGTGTCACTATACGCTGGGGACCAGAACCCCACACTAGGCGAGGGACTCACTCTCGTGTACTGTCCCACCCAATAATAAAACATTGGCTACATGGAGACTGGTGGTTGCTTGCAGTTGTGAATCATGCCTGTAACATCATTAGAGAAACACGAAACCTATCAAAACCTGCACATCGAGGTTGATTATTCTGATTTACAGTTTTGGATGCTGAGCACATTATATTTACGTGCATCACTAAGCGTTCAGGTGAGCTGCTGGTGTCCCTTGCCTTCATGTGGGCACAAGGAACTATAAATAATACAAATTACATCAGCCAGCAGCACACATCAGGGCCAGGACACAGGCTCGATAAAATGTAAATGGTTATAACGTCATTCCAAAGCAAAATGGCAGCTTACAATCGGGAAGGACAGAGAGCTTTCCCCACCTTCACGATCACACATTGGATAGAATTGTTCAAACACTGGCATGATGTGCTCCGACATGAACTGTATCACAATCCGTGAGCAAAACAATCCTGGACAACTGAACAGCATCTGCAATACAACCCAACACTCAAACTACCAATGCAGGGCTGCAGCTGTAAATTACATTCAGCTGGACAGCTTTTGATGCCCCATCTTCTGATTTTGTAGATGCTAAAGATAAAATCTAATTAAAATTGCTTGTGAAAACTCCATTGAAATAGACACAGTTTGCCATCAGTTCTACACCAAAAACTATGCTACTTCCAACTGACAGCATTGGCAACACTCACTCCCTTAATTAAAATAGATTTAGGAAAACAAAACTGACTTATCTTTATCCTGAAATAACGCAAGGGGCACTTCAATAATAGTGAGCGTTTATATTGGCCCTGGGAATAGGATTATAACCAACTAGTTTAGAGAAGGAATGAAAAAGCTAAAAATGTTACGCTTTTCACACATTTAGGATACCTCTCAAACTTTACACCCACAATGAAGCTTTGGAAGAGTGGTCATTGCTAAATTAGTGAAACATACCAGCCCTAATTTGCACACAGGAAGTTCCCACAAACAGCAATGAGTGAAATGGCTAGGTAAGCTATTTCAGTGATTTTTGGGAAGAAGAAAATACAGGTAAGGTGAACATGTTATTCAAACAGTTTGACAGGTTATTAGAACATAAAAACTGGAGCAGGGTGGATTACAATAGCTTCTTCAGTCGGCACTGCCATTCCTTTAAATCATGGTTGATATACTTTAATTTCCCACTCCCATTTGATCCCCATATTCCTCAATTCCCTGGCAGATCAAAGACCTATCAGTATCAGTCTCACGGACAGTTTACGACTGTGGATTCAAAGCCTTGGTGGCAGAGAATTCTTGAGACTCTCAAATTTCTGACTGAAGGGGTTTTTCAAGCTCACACCTACATCATTATCAAATTATACACTGAAGTCTCCAGACTCAAAACATGGCTCCCTACCTTCGTTTGTCCCACCAAACAGCTTCGTAACCTTTAGTTTGAAGAGCAGCCATTATTACATTAACATCATAGTTTCCTGTTCCCAGCATGCTCTTCTTGTGCGGCGTTACCATAGTATTGGGGGACAACCTGCCAGACAGACAGAAACAAACAAACATTGATTAAACATTAAACAGCATCATCTCCTATCCAGCCAATCTCTGTCAAATAGCCCATATGAAAAATGTTTGTAGCAGGGTGTACAATGGGTCTACGTTCCTGAATTTGAAAGAATGTGAGGGAATTAAGTTGAAGTGCGGAAAATTATTTAGCCTCTCTATGGCTACACTGTCAAGGCCTATCTCCCCTGATTGCAGAGTCTAGAACACGGTCATAGTCTCAGGATAAGGTCTAAGCTGAGACCAAGACTGACCAGATTGATCTTAAGAAATTTCCTTTACAACATATGAAATTCTCCACCCCAGAGAGCTGCTGATACTTGGTTGCTAAGAATATTCAAAACTCGATCAATAGATTCTTGAATGTTGAGGGAATTAAGTGTTTATAGAGATCGGACAGGAATGTGAAATATAATTAATGTATTAAATATCAGAGCAAAAGAGAGGGGACATGATCTAAACTCGCACCTATTGTTGATACTCTTATGAATGCCTTAAATATAAACAGCTCCAAATGTTTCTACACAATCCCTCAGTTTATTTAACAACATACCAAAGGAGTAGACACACTTAACAAGATTCCATGTGCAATTTTATCAGCTGAAATAATTCCCACCATTCCTACCAATGAGAGGGATAATCCACCAGCACTTCAAATCTCAAAAGATTCCCTGCAGAGACAGCCCCATACTGGAAGGGCACCCATAATCAGGATCCAGATAAAACAACTCACTCCACCTCAACCCAATTCTAATTTACCTCTTGTTTATTCTTTCATGGCATGTGGGTTTTGCCATTAAGACCAGCATTTATTGCCCATCCCTAATTGTTGTTGAATTCATAGAACCACATAACACCTACACAGCATGGAAGTAGGCCATTCGGCCCATCGAGTCCACACCGACCCTCTGAAGAGGATCCCACCCAGATGCTACCCTGTCCCCACAATCCCACATTTCCCATGGCTAACCCACTTAGCCTGCACATCCCTAGACACTACGGGACAATTTAGCACGGCCAATCCACCTACCCTGCACACCTTTGGACTGTGGGAAGAAACCTCAGCACGCAGGCATGGGGAAAATGTGCAAACTCCACACAGACAGTTGCCCCAGGAGTGGAATCAATCCCGCTGCGAGGCAGCAGTGTTAACCACTGAGCCACCATGATGTCCTTGAATGGCTTGTTACGCCATTTCAGGGATGAGTAGTGTCAATCACATTGCAATCACTCTATTGCACAACAAATGTATTTTGCTTTTATAGTTCTCAGAGATAGCAAGAACTGTCAGAGACAACACGGTGTAGGGCTGGAGGAACACAACAGGCCAGGCAGCATCAGAGGAGCAGTAAAGTTGATGGTTGGGTCCTCAAACGTCAACTGTCCTGCTCCTCTGATGCTGCCTGGCCTGCTGTGTTCCTGAAGCTCCACACTGCGTTGCTTTTATTTCTATCATTATGCTAGCATCACTTCAAGTGATCATTAAAATGTAACCTGCTCACTGTTACAGATTGTTAAAAACCTAGTTGATAAGATTACATCAAGATTCAAATGATTAACAATTTATCTAAAGAATATTTTGTTTAAAATTCTCATGCTTCTTTTCAGATCCCTCTGTGGCACTGCCACTCACTACCTGCACAATCTCCTTCAGCCCCACTGTACTGAGGTCTCGATATTCTTTCGATTCTGGTCTCTCTTGTCCATCCCCAATTTTATACCGCTCACCATTGATCTGTGTCTTCAGTTACCTGGGCTCTAAGCTCCGGAATTCCCTCCCAGAACCTTTTCATCTTTCCTTTCTCCTTTACAATGTTCCCCATCACGTAAATGTCACTTGTCTGAATATCAGCTCGATGACTAATTTTGCTTTGTAATGCTTGTGTGAAGTACCTTGGGATATTTAAGTTAAGGCACTATATCATTACAAGCTGTTGTTAAACATCTCTGATTTGGGATGAATGAAATAGTCAAAAAGAACAAAAAACCTTATGCCTAATCAATCACATTGTTAAAACTGAGAGAAATAGATCATATTAATATCTTTGAGGACATTTCAAATGGGAGAGCATCTAGGCACTGGTGATGTTGGCTGAGAGCTACAAGTCTAAGCAAGTCAATAAACTCTCTTCGTAAACAAAAGCTGTTTCTTAGTTTCTATGGCATCAGCTGGCTTAAAGTCAGTTAACACAACATGTAATTTTAAGATGTTAATTCACCACCAGGGCCAGACCAGAAGCCATTAACATGACCAGATTATTTTGAGTTAGTGATGCTGGATAAAGTACTGAAGAGGGCTGTTTGCTCTCTGGTAACAGGGGACCTTCTATTTCCACCCGAGGGAGCAGTTGGGGTCTTGATTTAACGTTTCATCCAAAAAAATAGCACCTCCAACCGTGCAGCACTCCCTCAATGTGCACTGTGGTCTCCGGAGTTGGTTTGAAATGACCAGTTTCCAAATCGTAGATGAAATTACCATCGCTGAGCTGGAGTAGGTGCATTTAACTACGTACTGGATTTAAATTACTTAGGCAAGTAAAAAGAAAGCACCTAACAACTGATAGAGTTTAAAGACACCACTTTTAAGGAGTTCACTGTCAGACTTTCTTGTTTTTAAAACATGTTCTGAAGGTTACAAAAATGTCCCGTGTTTATCATTATAATTGCGATCACACTGGTGGTGGGATATGAAAAATACTGAAGATCCTGCAGGGGAACAGTTATCATCTTGGTTTTTCTAAATAATACTCTGGTCAATCAATTAATGGATCAATTGCTGAGTTCAGTCTTTGGGGAACATTCAGTGAGCTAACTGTCAATATACCAATTCCCTCACTTCACAACTCAAGCAGGAATGAATGTTGACATTTGCTGCATGTTGTTAAGGCGGGAAATTACTTGGATATCTCATGGCTGTACAAAGCACACGCTCTCTTTTTTATAATGTTCCCCTTCAGATCATTTTAGTCTTTTTGAAGAAAATTATAGCTATTTCTTTGCCAGCTGTATATTAGTCTAAAAGATGCTCACAAGAAATCAGCAACGTACAAGGGATTTCTTTTTAAGAATCCCTACAATGTGAAAACAAGCCCTTCGGCCCAACAAGTCCACACCAACTCTCAGAACATCGCACCCAGACTCAAACCCTATAACCCACCTAATCTACATATCTCTGAACACTACGGGCATTTTAACATGGCCAATCCACTTAGCCCGCACATCTTTGGACTGTGGGAGGAAACCCGAGCACCCGGAGGAAACCCACGCAGACACGGGGAGAATGTGCAAACTCCACACAGATAGTCACCCGAGGATGGAATCGAACCCGGGTCCCTGGTGCTGTGAGGCAGCAGTGCTAACCACTGAGCATCTGTGCTGCGGATTTGTTAGAGTAAATGAGGAAAAACTGTTGAGTTGCAGGAGGGTGGATAGCTGTAGGACATATTAGAGATCTAGAGAGAACTTGGAGTCATTACAATTAGTAAAAGTTTAGGGATTTCAGCTTGTATTGACTCTGCTACAAATAGATTTTGAAATAACTAGGTTACACCCCTGTGGTTTGACACGAGCTTTTGAAAAGCATACTTTGCAAAAACAATTTTAAACTTACAAATCTTACACCCAAGTCAGGTCATCACCGAGTCACTTGCTAATCTCAATATGACAAATCAGACTTTGGAGTTTTCTGTCTCTCCATGCCTAGATGATTTTCGTAACTGCATAAGGGATGCGGGTATCATTTGCTAGGCCAACATTTATTGCCTATCCCTTTTTGCCCAGAGAGCCTTTAACAGCCAAATACTTTATTGTGGGTCTGGACTCTCATCGAGGTTAGGACAGCGGATTTCTTTCCCAAAAGGACATTAGTGAACCAGGTGGGTTTTTACAACAATCAACAGCAGTTACATCATTAGGTTAGCTTTACGTAAAACAAAATCTACATTTACAATCTCAGTAGTTAGCACAGCTGCCTCACAGCACTAGGGACCCAGGTTCGATCCCACCCTCGGGTGACTGTCTGTGTGGAGTGTGCACATTCTCCCCGTGTCTGCGTGGGTTTCCTCTGGGTGCTCCGGTTTCCTCCCACAGTCCAAAGACGTGCAGGTTAGGGGGGATTGAGCAAGCTCAATTGCCCATAGTGTCCAGGTTATGCAGGGCTAGGTGGATTATCCATGGGACATGCAGGATTACACAGAGTAGGGGGATCAGTCTGGGTTGGATGCTCTTCAAAGGATCAGTGGGGACTCGATGGGTCGAATGGCCTGCTCCCACAGTAGGGATTCTATGATATATTTGATTTTATTGATTTCACCATTCTCCTGCCTGGGATTTGAACCCATCTCCAGAACGTTAACCTAGGATTCAGGTTTACCCATCCACTGACATTACCACTACTCGTAGCTTGAACAAAAGAGCTTGGATTTCATAAGAGAGAAGGCAGTAAGTTTTTTTATGCCAAATAACCCTTAACGTTTTGAATGTTAACAGATGCCAGTGCCTTTCCTGTGTTCCAAATATTTTAAAACATGTATTAGGGAGTTCTCACAATCCACCCACAGTCACTCATTTTCTAATTTCTCACTGGTATAATGCTTGATCTCCCTCAGAGGGTTCCTCCCCCCAAGTTACCAACATCCAGTCCTTAGTTCTCTTTGAAAATAAAAGCTGAATTCCATAGCTGTTGGCAAACTGAAATAAAAACAAAGAATGCTAGGGAAACTCAACAGGTCTGGCTGCATTTGTGGAGAGAGAGAGAGAGAGAGAGAGAAAGAGAAACAGAGTTAACGTTTCAGCTCATCTGATAACTTTCCTTTGGGACTGCAGAGTCATGTCAGACTTGAAACATTAAGTCTGTTTATCTCTCCATGGATGCTGCCAGACCGGCTGAGTTTCTACAGAACTTTCTGTTTCCCCTCCTCTCTGTATTGAAGAGAGATGTCTTTTTCTTTATTGATTAACGGAATGAGGGCA